GGGGGGGGGGGGGGGGGGGGGGGGGGCGTATGCAATTCGTTCAAGTTGTTTGTTAGTTTCCTTGATCGGCTACCATGTGTTTTACATTGACCCCTCGGGCAGTACAAGCACCCACCATGACTATCCGGAACGAGGCGCACAACGGGGTTCCATTTCGAGGGCGACATTACACCCATCGAAATGAACCACAGTGAAAATCTGCATTCACGTTCCAAACCGCGTCCCCGCCTTTGAATCACGAGGGCGCGTTGTGTGTGTTGAAACGCTCTGACAGTTCCCGTTGCTCTTTGTCCTCCCAGCGACCATGTCCTCACCCCACTTTCGGACCATATCTACCGCATGGCATCCCAGCTTCGCCAAATCACGACAAGGTGATGGGGCTGGGCCCGGCCTCGGTTGGTTCCACCCTTTCCGCGACTTCGTACGGCGGAAAGACAACCAAGGCTTGACAGCCCGTGAACTTGCTCATCAGGTCAGGCACCCTCGAGAACAACTCTGGATCCAAAGCACCCTTTATTTCGTTTGATCTTGCGGAGCGTTTCGGGCCGGCAGGTCCCGTTGATCTTTAATGTGGCTCGTGCCAAACGGATACCACTGTTTTTGGGCATGCCCGTTGTGCACGGACTTCATACGAGGTGACACCGTCTTTTCGGGAGTTTTATAGTCGAAAGAAGCCTCGTGGATTTCGTTCATCTGGTAGTATTCCGATGCTGCCCGTAAATTAAAACCAGTGATCGATGTTAGTCGATACCCAATGGATGAGATGTTGCTTACAGCATCTGCTTCGCTTACACACGAACGTCGAAGACCTTCATGGCCTACGATTCCTGGCAGCGGGGCTCTGATCCCACTTGTAGGAGAGTTAAGTATCACCGAGAATAGTTTCACACCCGGTGAGCTCTGGTGCACACGCCAAACCAGTGTCGTGTGGAGGAGGCTTCCCGCTGTAAAAAGATGTTTGGAGCTCTGCCTAATATGGCGTCCTTCCGTGGGAAGAGGCTGGGGAGCTTCGGAACTTTCTCTGCCCTGGTCGTGGAATACACGGGTATCTTCCGAGTGGGCATTTCTTGCCGGAGAGTGCGCATGTCACTAAGAAACGGCACCACCTCCATTGGTGGGAGATTTTACCCCCAGTGTTCGCGAGCGTCGACTCTTTTCGTTGGAACGTAGCCACCGCTGCTCGTGCTCGGCGTGGTGTCCGTGGCACGCTCACCTAAGCACAGGCAGTCGTGCAAACTCACGCACAAGACTTTGTTGCAGCTGCACAACCGAACCAAACAAAACTCTCTGTTTTTGCCCCCCCGCGCGTGTGATTGCGGTGACCTGTGGATGTTTCCCAGGCTGGGTACGACGAAGTGGTCACCTTACTGGACAATGCCGACGGGAGGATCGAGGTCTGGGAGGCCCGGGAGTGTGCACAGGAACATGCTTCGGAAAGGTGACGTTTGGCACGGTTACGGTTATTGGAGTCTGTCGGGGCGCCAACGACAGACGGCCTTCGTGAATGTGACTCGCTGCACAGCCAAACCTTGCTGGATTTACATCGCACACACATAAATCGAACTCGCTGAAGTCATCGGCTGCATATTGAATCAAATATTCTCCCCCAGGTTATGTCGCACTCCAAGGAGAACTTGAGCGGAAGACAAAAACAAACCAATACGACCTTGTCGGATTGTCTCGTTCTCACAGGCATGATCTGGCTTTGCCACCACATGTCTCCCTCAATACACACATGCGTTCTCGTTCGAGTTGTCGGCGTGTGTCTGTACTTCCCTCGTTGATTGTACACACACCGTTGCCCGGTTCCCACTCGAGGGTGTAGGATAAAATGCGGCAACGAGGGCTGCCGACACCGTGACCGGCGCGACCGGATGCAACGCCACGAGAGGACCGAGTGCCCGCGCCGCCCGGCCGGCTGCCCGACCTGCGGAAAGAAGCTGGCGGCGGGGGACCTGCCGCAGCACAAGGAGAAGGAATGCGAGAAGAGAATCGACGCCTGCCCCAACGCCTTCCTCGGGTGCTACGATGCCATGCCGCACGAAAGAATCGCGGCACACATCAGACACATGTATGCGACAGAAGGGGGGGAGGACAGGATAAGAGTGCGTCCTGGGGAAGGGCTTAGGGTTAGACGTGCCTGACTTCTTGATTGTAGCCAATTCTGTTGTGCGTTTGTTTATGTAAATTGGTATGAGAGCTCCACCGATACTTTCGGGTCAAGTTCGACCTGTTTAATTTTAGAGCATGTACGCCATGGGCGACATACAACACGGATAGCACCGAAACGTGGAAGCGAGTAGGGCTCCGGCGGTACGGGCGTGTGGGTCAGCTTGAGATCCCATCGAATCCGTCCTGCTTCGAAATGCCGTGCACTTTAAACTGTGGATCTACCTCCCTCCCCCGCCCCCGCTATTTGCTTGGCCCTAACACGCGTTAGCTCAGTTGGATCTACTGCCGCATCGTTGCGCTTGGTTTCTTGCAGGAAAAAAGTAGTTGCTGCTGTGGCGTATCTTGGCAACGCTGTACAATATGTAGACTCGTTATCTTCTTTCCATTCCTGTCGCGTCTTCTCTTTTCACTGGCACGAATAATATGATAAGGTGCAAGTTTCGTCGCGTCGACTGCCGACGCGGCTGCGGGGCATCCGTGATCGCGCGTGAGCTGGACAGTCACGAACAGGACCACTGCAGGCTGAGCAAACACCCGTGCGTCTTCGGCTGCGGGGAGAATATCACAAAGGCCAAGGTGGACGCTCACATCAAGAAGGTGACGGGGGGAGGAAGTATGTGCCGCAAACATACATTCTGGAGCGCGTTTAAGTAAATTCATTATAGCAAGTTCTACTATGTCCCTCGTTGAGTGAACTTTCTTTGTGCCTGGTCACGGCATAGGTTTTTGGTGAGCGGTCTTGAGGGACAAGAACATCATGAGACACAAGCCCCAAGGGTGGAGCTCGCGTGCCTGTTACACCCTTGAAGGCGACCAAACGCAACGTTGGCAGGAGACCTGCATGGCGCTCCTCCCCAAAACAAGAATATCAATGCCACAAGGACCAGTAACAAGTTCGGAAAAAAAGCGCGATCGGGGTCCATCCACCCAGCATTATTCCATTCATCCATTGGACCCAGTCAACCTATTCCTACTTTCTTTAACGGCAACCAGTCAACCTATATCTACATTTACATACCCGCCGTACCCGCTCCACCTCCACCCCTTGTCGCCATGTTCCCTCAACAGGACTGCCGCAAGCGCAAGGTCCGCTGTAGACTGGGGTGCGGCTCGAACGTTGACGCCGGGGAGCTGCAACACCACGAGCAGGAGGTTTGCACGCAGCCGTGCCGCTGGGAGGGGTGCGGGGAGCGGCTTGGGCCCTTGGTGCGGCGGGAGTTGCACGAGCAATCTCTGTGCCCCGAGCGTCCCGCGGAATGCCCCCACGGCTGCGGCATTAGGTATGCGTGTTCGTCCGTGCCGTGCGCTGGTTCTTGTACTCACCCTCTCGTTAGCATCGACGACGCGGAACCGACTAAACAATGATGCCGTTCTCGGTAGGGGACATTTGATTGCGTGCAATATATGCGCGCGCGGGCATCGATCACACGTTTGTGAGCGTTATCATCGGTTTCATCGGGGTCCGTTAGTGACAGAAACAGCCCCTCAAGAAACACCTGGCGTGTAGTAAACTTTAGGATACTCTACTTTGAGGGAATTCACAAGGACACAATCCGCGGTGATCATGGCATGATAAAGGTGAATGGTGACCTTATTGAGAACCAACACGTCATTATTGGTATGTATGCGATCTCGATGGCCTAGACACCAAGATATGCAACAAATTGCAGTCGAACCACACACACTCCGTCGCGACTACTCTCCATTTCCTCCTGCTACGCTCAACTCGTTGGAACACCTCCACTGTTTCCCGGCAGAGGGCTCACAGCGGCGCTAAAGGACACCCATGCCCAGCACCATTGCCAGCTGAGACCCATTCCGTGCCCCAGCGGTTGCGGCGCCGTTCTCCCCAACAATGAAATCTCTGAGCACGTCCGGGGAGAACGGGGGACATGCCCGGAACGGTTTCAGCGGTGCAGGTGCTTCGCCGGGGGCAGGGGGTAGGGGGGACAGGGAGGGGGCGAAAGAGCGGAGTATGTTGAATGCTATGGGAGGACGGGGTAGAACCATCAATGGTAACTGTCAACGGTCTTCGGTTGTCGCATTGCCACAACTGCACGGTATCCTGCGCCGCCTCACGGCAATGTCAATTCATTCATAATCTGTCCCCCTCGCCCTACGTCTCCCTCTGCCTCAAACAACATTGGTTGCTTTCGTAGCGCAATTCTTCGTAGCAGGCAAGAGTACGATAAGTATCTTGCAAACAGACTTTCTGTACGCTCTATCATGCCCTGGGGAGAAATATGTATGAGTAAACTCGCGTTTGTGTTTTTTGTGTGCTGTCTCGTCCAAGGTTTGATTGTCTGCATCGAAGAATACTGGTACGGAAGGCGGATGATCACACCGGAACAACAGCAACAGCAGCGGCACCGCCGGCAAAAGGCGATGATAGAGATAGGGGCGATAGCAACGATGACGGCGACGACGGCGGGACATGCGATGCAGCAACGTCCGAGGACGAAGAAAAAGGGACGGAGGAGAAGGAGGAGCAGGAGGGAGGAGAATCGGTAGAGTTGGTTCCCGGGATGCTGAAATCGTACGACACTTCCACTGGGCTCTTTGGGATCCGCTACCCACACGGAAATCGGTAGGAGGGATCTGTGAAGAATGCCGTCTTGTCACTGTCTGGTTGGGTTTCGTGGCGATCAACGTTGCCACGTCGTACGGGTCTCAATGTTGCCACGTCGTATGGAGCATGGTGAGGTAGTTGTACACATGTTCCTCGCTATCTACTTTCGTTCCTGTCCTCTCTCCTTTCGAACAGATTACCCTCTAAACAGCTGCATTTTCACCCTCTTGCGACCGTTTCGGCGGTGTAGACTTGCGGCATGTTGGGTTGGCTGATCCTCGGAGGTTGACAATAGCCCGTCGTGAACTCCAGTGTAAGGCCAGTCAGTCTTCTTCGGTACGACGAACGCCAACAACCGAACCCTGACCACGAACTCTGTTGGCGTCTCAATCGGTTTCTTCCTCTTCTCCCCCCCTCTCCCTCAAGGAAATGACGAGTGAACAGAGGATACCATAGTCTAAGCAAATATTTGCTTCGAACGGAGCAAGGTCTGAACCCTAAGCGCACCCAGGCCTGCTGCATTCCAAAAAAAGACAAGAGATTTACCAGTGGTCGTTCTGCCTCAAAAAGGCGACGCCGAAATGCCTACGGCAAGCATCAAGTGGTGACTCACGACCACCCAACCGGTTCAAATTATTACGCACCCAGGCAACAAGCGCTGGAGGACCTGGACTTTGTCTGGGCCGACCAGGGGGGCGACGGTGGCAGCGGTGCGAGTGGCGGTTCGACTGCGTGGGCGTGCGGCTGGATTCCCGCGGCCGACATGGCCGATCACCTCTTGCACTCGTGCCCTAGGCGCTCCGCTCCGTGCCGGGAAGGGTGCGGGCAGAGCTTGGTCGTCATGGAGGCCGAGCGGCACTACCAAGACCATTGTCCCAAGCGGTACGTGCGTGGGTGGGTGTGTATCGCGAGGGGCCAGTGGAGGGCACTTGGCATGTGTTGGTGTGTTTTGCGTAGCTGCAAGTGCCGGCGTAGATAAGAAGTTCGTGAGGCATGGCCGTCGCCCACTGACTGTGTTTACATGTCAATGCGGCCGGCGTTGCTGCACAGCAGTTACTCTTTTGACAATACGAACGTCAGTATGATCAACATTGGTTTAGCAAGTCCAAGCACCAAAGATCGACGACGACCCCCGCGCAGTCGGCTCAATCTCCTTCCTTCAAGAACAACGTGTAACTTATCGTGCACAATCAGGTTCGTGATCTGCCCGCTAGGCTGCAGGGCGGAGGTGAGGCAGGAAAAACTCGCGGAGCACATGGACGAGAACTGCCCGTTTCGTAGCTCACCGTGCGAGGCATGTGGAATTTCTCTGCCGCTTGAGAGCCACGCCAAGCACCTCGCTGAAAGCTGCCCCAGGGTTCCCCGAAGCTGCACAAATGGTGCGTGTATTACATTTGTAATTCTGTATTTATCCTAGATGCCGATCGGCTGCTGTAATTATTTTCTCCTAGACCCGTGAGCGTTCACACGTGTAAGCCTGACTTGATTGGGTGGATTGACCTCAGTGGCTCCCACACAACATTCTGCCACTCGTAAGACAATATCATGACGAGGTCAGGACGCACTCAATGGCTGGTTGCTGAGAAGAAAAAACAAACCGCACCAAATGAGAGAAGAACGAAGCAAGACAGTCCACTACAAAGGGATTCGTCCCAAACGCCATTCCTCCATCTCTCTTGCTGTCCCCCCTCTCTCCTCGTCGCTCCTTACACCACGAAAATGGATGTAACTCTCTCATATCCGAGACTTATCTATCTCCCCGCCTGTCTGACACTTACATCGGGACTATTCGAACTCAATCTACCGCGTGTTCCAGGGCGGTGAAAGCTCGGTGCCGAAACAGGTGCTGTTCTCACATGCAAAATCTTTCCCTGCCCAGTCCGCTCACCTACCGCTCTTGCTCGCCTCCCCACCCTACACCGGCATATCTCTCCTCCTCGTTATTTGTTTCCTACGTAAGGATGCGGCTCTCACGTACGGGGGGAAGACCTCCAGCACCACCTTTCCAAGGAATGCCCGAAGCGAGTCGTACCGTGCCCATTGGGTTGTCCAGAAGACCAGCTCTGGGCCGAAGAGGTGATGCGGTTAATATCGGCTGATTGTTTTTTGAAATGGTAATGTTGGAGTCTGAGCAGCTTGAGGTATGTCTTTCTTTGTTTCTCGCGTCGTTCCTGTTTCAGTTGGCCATCTGATCGCGGAGCGTTGTCGGCCATTTGAAAAAGTGTTCGTGATGAATTTTTGCAGCTGGGCGGAGGTTTTGGGACAATGACTGGTTGTTGACTTTCCTCATATGAACCAAGTACAAATTAATTCTTTGGTGATTACGACAACAACGCCAGGTGTCGTCTCACTTGCGGGACAGCTGTCCGCTGCAGCTGGAGCCTTGTCGCCGGGGGTGCGGCGAACAGGTGGCGGTCTGCTCGAGGGAGCAGCACGAGGCGGCGGGGTGTTCGGAGAGACTCGTCAAGTGCGAGTGCGGGATGGAGCACCCCTTCTCCAAGACCGGAGATCACAGGTATATAGGATGTAGTACAGCCCGCGGTATGTAGGTGATGCGCTCTCGGTTCCTTTTACATTGAAAGAACACGCCTCAGACCGTTACCAGGCATGTTCGTATAGGCTACTCCCCACAAGATTACCACGAGAAAGGCTGATCAGTCTCTGGACTTAAGAAAAAAATAGATGACAGACTCGACATGACATGCAAAAGGCGGAAAACAGCCATGTCTTGGGGGCATCGAGGTTTTGGGTTTGTGCTGCAACCCTCTTCAATTAGGAAATGAAGTCACACACGGTTGGGTCTGTACAATACCACATACAGGCGGTGTGTTGTTTCTCTATTTCAAGACTAACCTGCTGCGTGCACAACCTTTTGGCTCGGTGAAACAACGTTCGCGAAACTTGCGAGGACGACCGCACGGAACGCGACAAGAGTTGGGGTGTCATATTTTTTTGTCGACACTCATGTCCCCGCGCCACAAAGTCTCCGGATGCTGCAACGGCTTTCGGCATTTTCCGTCACGTTCGTTGTGTTTCGAAATCGAACCAACTTTTTGTTCTAGCACCAACCCACCGACTTTTCTTGCTGTTTCTCACTCTTGATCTTACAGGATTACGACGTGTCTCGCAGTGGTGTCCTACTGCTCTCTAGGGTGCGGGGTCAAGGTCCGCAAGATGGACGTGGACCTTCACCAGGTATCTCATGTCTGTCATTATGAGCACCGAGGAAAACACACACCCAGGCATACTGGTGTTGTTCATGAACACCTATGAGCCAGTCATCTCTCGAACAACCGTCGGTGTTCTCAACGTGCTCGCGATTCAGTAGGTATCCGGAACGCACATTAGAGCATAGTCGACTTGATATATCAGCTGGATGACTAGATGTTACGACCTCACCAGAGCGAAAACAAGCACCAGTAGACGGGGAAACACGTGGAGAGTACATGGCGAAATCAACATTATGCAGGTTCTTGTTTCACGGCATCAATCCTTCACGAAAGCAGGCGCAGAACGATAGCTGCTCTTGTTAGCGAGGGCTTGCTCGGGGACGAGCAAAACCGCCGAGGCCAATTGATGCAGCGTTCCGGTCGTTCAATTCTACCCCTGATCATCACTTCAGTTCACACGACCAAAATGGGGAGAATAAGTCCCTCTTCAGCCCTCACCCCCATCAACCGTCCTTTCAATCTCCCCCACGCCACCGGTCAATTAATCGCGGGTACGAACACACCGCACACAGGAAAAGTACTGCGAGCGCAAGACCCTGCGCACATTGAGCAAGATGATCGACTGCCCCCTTGGTTGCGGGCACCTTATTCTACGGCAGTGGGAGTTCCAGCACCGCACGTTCGACTGCCCCAAGCGGCCGGCGTTGTGCCCACGGGGGTGCTCCGCGAAAGTCGCGGCCGACGAGGTGGCTGCTCACTCGTTGACCTGCGGCCGGCGACGAATACGGTAATTCAGATGTGACTGTCTATCGTATCATGGTAGTGGCCACAAGCAGAGCGTACCCTCGTTTCAATTTTCCTTGCGGAGAAGGAGTGGATAGGTGCGGCACCGAAGTTGCGAAGGGAAACAACGCAAGTGTTAAGATCACCAATCGCGACAGTTAACATAACTCGGGACTTCGACACCATCCGCACTTGCCATGGAATGTCCACAACCCACGCACCCGTTGTCACACTAAGCAGAACCCCGCCCCTGCTTATCATCCCCGGCCAACTTCCGCACGTGCCCATTAGCCTTCTTGACGGTTGCCCTGCCTTGCCCTGCGGTACGTTCTGCTCTTGGTGTTCACGTTCAATAACAGATGCGGTGCGGAGAGCACCGGCTGCGAACGCATGCTCCTCACCTGGTTGGGGCACACAGATGCGTCTTTGAGAAGGAGACAAGAAGACAACGCTTCATACTCTCCACACGTGAGCAGCCTGTGTTACCGAGTCCCTCAGTGGTACAATCCACACAATATATGTTCACTAGTGTCCATCATCCCCTACGGCTTCCCTTACCACCACGACACGTGGCCCACTTGAGCACAACATATCCGTTTCCAGCTTTGATGCGGCACGCGTCTAACCAAGGCTGCACGACGAGGACCTCATACCAGGTACGTTACTAACTCAACAGCTGCTTCAAATCTACCCCCATGTCTCAACAACAACAGGGAGAAGCTAATGTCTTTGACAAAGGCGGGAAGAGTCTCGTGGCGTGCTCCGACCACGGTAGCGATGCCCTCATGTGGGCAGCGAGCAAGGGTGACTCGGAACACGCGCTGCTCGAAAATATCATATCGCTCTCCGGAGGGGCTTCCGTCAACCGCGAGTCCTATCACGGGGACACGGCGCTAACGATTGCCTGCTCCAGGCGAGGACATTAGTTGAAGGGGGAAGACGGGGAGGGGCCAACGGGTGATTCGTATTTAACGTCTTGTTTTACCCCTCAGATTTCTGCCTTAACGACGTCGTAGAGCTGGAGGACGTAGGCGTTTTACAAGGACGATCTAGAGGGAGGGGGGGCGAGGCTACTCGTCGACTCCTTGTCTCCGTCGAGGGGTTGATCACCACGTATCCGTTCCAGAGGGGGGTAGGGAGTTGATGTGTCATCATTTTTTACTTGCCTGCAGTCGAAATCAAGTCGTCGTAGTAATGATTTAGTTGTGTGTTCAGGAGGCCCAGAAAAAATCCCTATATTTACCCTCTCTTCGTTTCGAAGGGGCGCGGGACCCTCAACCAGTTTTACTAGCTCGATCCCACCGTGCTGGGGGTAACAATGTTGCAAGGCTAAATATCGACGTCATGTCTCAACACCCTTCGCAACCGAACGAAACCTGGACGTTTTAATCGCCAGGGGTCACGTGCGGTCCGTTCGAACCCTGGTGAACATCGGACACGCGGAAGTCAACCACGAAACCCGCGCCGGCAAGACTCCCCTGATCGAGGCCGCGAGGCACGGCCGGACCGCCGTCGTGCGCCTCCTTATCGAGCTCCGTGCGGTGATCTCGTACAAGAACCGGCGCAGGCAGACGGCGACGTGGTGGGCCAACAGACTCGGACACCGCGACTGCGCCTTGCTCATGACGAGGGAGGTTAAGGCAGAGACCACCCTGCGCCTCATGTCGAGCCAGATAGGTGAGTGTTGAGGGTGTAGTGGTACGCGAGGGGAGGGGTGAAGTAATCATTTTACACGACGGAGAGCAACCCCACGAGGATAAAAATTTCTCATCACTGAGACATTAATATAAAGTGATCTCCCTGTTTCAAGGCAAGGCGGATGAAGGAATTTGTAGCAGATGAGCTTATCGTAGAATTTATGCTTGTTCGGTCGTGCTGTTGTTCGAACAATCGTTGACGACATCACAGCAAGTTCACGGAACACCGCCCTATTGCCAAAACCACCACTATCGCCTCCTAACCGTGTGCTACGTCGATGTCTCTTCTGCCACGTGTGTAACTGTACTCCCAGCACGCGGCGACGTGAAGGCCGTTCGATCGCTCGTGGAATCGGGCGAGCCGTATACGGACAACCACCGCGAACACCTCGAAGCCGAGATCGAACGGGTGGCGACAGAGCTCGAGGCTGCCTCGAAGAAACTCCGTGAACTTTCCACGTTGAAGGAGAAGCTGTCTCCGGAGCTCGAGCGACTCAAGGTGTGGATGGTGTACTCAACAACAACCCGAAGACCGTCCACCGTTTGTGCTCTCCGGGTTCGAAAATATTTCGGTTCAGTTGCTTTTCTTCGAAAGCGCTGCGATGCTGAAGGTCGTGCCGCTATCATTTGCCGTTTGCAACACTGTCCCCTTTGTTCAATAGGCTCTTCCGTCACATCGATTGGAAACGGTAACATCAGCAAAGTTTTTACTATAGGATGGTGATTGATCCCCGGTGCGCCTGCGGTTGACGGCGGATTTGGATATCTCTTACCAGCCCATCCGTCCCCGCTGAATGTCGCGCGTTTTTACCATGGAACCATGCTAGGCATCCCTCACCAAGGATCTAGCTCGGCGGTGCAAGATACAGCGGGAGGCCGCCAAGAGCACTCGAGCTGGCACCCGCGGCAGGAACCTGGAGAATCAATTGGCGGTGTCTACAACCAGACCATCAGGGGTGGCGGCCATCTCGTCGCAATCGTTCCAGGCCATGCAGAGCAGGGCGCTCCGCCTCTTCCAGCGGAGCGTATCTCGCTTTCAGGTGCTCACCGAGGACGACTTCAAGAGAGTCGCAGACCTTAACCTGTTTCCGGAAGACGTAGGCGTGAGAAAGATGGCCGTGGACAAAGCAGAGGGAGGTAAGAACGAGGGTGAGGCTCTCAAAAAGGCGGACTCTAAGGCTGAGGTGGACGGAGAAGCAGTTCCCACCGTACAGGAAGGAGACAGAGAAGAACACGCCGGTATCGCAGAGGAGAAAGAGGCAGGAAGGAACCCTACCCCCAGCCTTTCCGCCGCCACCTCCTCCTCCTCCTCTTCCCGACGCCAGCTTACTCTAGGGCAAAGCCACAGCGGTAATGACGCGGACGCAGGGGAACTGGGTGTCAAGGAAGTGAATCCGGCTTCATCACCGCCTGCTACCACTATTCCCGCGGCCGCAGCAGTTCTACGTGTGGTAAGAGCCACCGTGCTGGTGCTCGGTGGGTGCGGTCTTGGGGCTCTTCCTTCGGACAAGGATCTGTGGAAAGCTGTCAAACCAATGCTCTCTGACGGAAGCTTGCGCCACCGAGTCCGACACTTTGACCGGTGAGTACGGAACTTTTGATGGAGATTCATTGCTATATGCCGCTCAATCGTTTCTGAGACTCTAACGTGCCCGCTGATAGTCCTTTCTTTTACCTTTCGCTGTATTTCGGTGAGCGCTTCATCGGGGATACGAAACTGTCGACTGGAACGAAATCAGATTTTTTTTTCAGACCTGATTTGACCACAGGTGTTCCAGGGTACTCCTTCTTCGGGTGGGACCCCATAGGTCCGGTCCACAACGGGTCGCTTGCCCGACTACGGCACAATATCATAAGCATGCTGTCGTTGCCCTCGCCATCTCAACCTCTCCGACGCACACATTTTGTTTCGCGGCTTCTCGCCGATCCAACCAAACCAATCAATCGCCTGCTTGCTCTACAGGCGCAGCATCCCCGTCGGGGTACTGGACGGAGTACGAGCTCTGCTTAACATCGGCACCGACGGCAGCGCAGAAGGCAACACCCAAGGAGACTCCGAACGGCGTGGCTCGGGTGGTCGTCTACCCGGGCCACTTGATGACGCGCGTTCGTCCCCACACTCCGACAGGACTGTCACTCTTAGCGCGGACTCGACCTGCGAGCAGAGCGGCGGCGGGAACACCACCGAGAGTGCGTCGGCCATCGAAGAAAACCACAGCGGCGACGAAGAAACAACCCCTACTGTTGACGGAAACAGAGCCGCACACGAGCTCAGCACACAGCTATCAATATACCACGGCGGAACCGACAACAGCAACGGCAGGGCCGACGCCAACCATCGTAGAAACACGACTAACTCACAGATGTATTCCTCGACCACCGATGACGGAGGCGGGCGCACCACCAACGACGACGACGACGATGACGACGAAGACGGCGACGACAGTGACTACAGCGGTGCGGATGAGGACCCATGGGGAGACGGGTACGGCGAATCGAGGTGGGGACAACTGACAGTCAGGGGCACAGATATCGGTACCAGCCACACAGGTGGTGATGCTGGTGCTGAATTGACCCTTATCCGGGCTCTCGGGTCATGGTGCGCTTCGGTGTCGGCATACGATAGGCTGGCACACCTGCCGCCTGGAAGCGCCGCGCGACGGGCAGCGGAGACCGAGACGGAATGGGACGAGCTGGAGAGACGTATCGCTAGGTTAAAGTTGGACGTGCAGCTGGAAGAATTTAGGTAATGCCTGTTTGTTTGATTTGAGGAAACAACAAGCGATTTTCAATGAACACTCGGAGGGGGTGGGGACGGGGGGGGCTGTCGGCTACTGAACAGTTGGACGGGGTGTGGAGGGGGGGGGGGGGT